TATTAATTATAAATAATGTTAAAATATTAATGTGATAATCATATATAATATATTAAAATATGTTGATTTCATAAAATTTTAAGAATGCTTGATAAAGTATAAAGAATAAATCTATAATCTTACCATTCAGTAATAGCCACAGTTAAAATCTTAACATTTTGTTTCTTTTCTTCATTTTCTACTCATATGAAGTTTCTTTAAAAAACATAACTAGTTTGAAATCATACTATACATTGAGAATCCTGGCAGCTTTTTTTCTTTTTTTATTCATCCATTGTAGTTGTACCTAATGGTGGGATTTATTGTTACATATTCAGACAGGCATGCAACTTAACAATATCATTTGGCCAATATTTTCCTTTTCCCTCCCCTCTCCTGATATTTTTTTTAACTTAATATGACTGTATCTATGAAAGCAGTTAACTATGTCATTAAGTATTTTTGATAAACATGATTTTTTTAAATCTATCCCTTCTTTTGGACATAACCAAATGATTATTATGATTAGTTTTTCTAGTTTATTTTCTACTATACAATACTGTAGTAAGCATATTATACACAGATTTTTTGCTTATCTGAGATTGTTTTCTGGATAAACTTCTAGGAGAACAATTAGAGATCAATGGGTAAGAACATTTAAGTGATGTTTTGGTGATGTTTTATCAAATTCTGGAAATTTATGGATTTCCAAAAATCGTCTCTGAATGGGGGCGGGGGGTGCTGGGTTTGTGGCTCAGTGGTAGAGTACTTTTCTGGCATGTGTGAGGCACTGGCTTTGATCCTCAGCACCACATAAAAATAAATAAAATCAAGGTATTGTGTCTGTCTACAATTAACAAATATATATTTTTTTTTTTTTAAAAAAGAAAGAAATGCTCTCTGAATCATTTTAAATTCACCAGTTCCTCAAACTCCATATCAACCAAAGCTATCAATTCTACTTCCAAAAATCTCTTTTCCTGCTGTTCTGGTTAGAAGAAAGTCATCCTCCAGGTGGGTTGTTCTTAGACCTTCCTGCCCACAGAGCCCGTTCTGCAATTCCTCAGACTGACTCTTCTCTCCCCCTCCTCCTTCTCTTTTCTCCTCTTCCTCCTCTTTAGTTAGGCTGATATTTTTCTTGTAATATTTTTGTTTCTCCGTTTCTTATGCTACTCTTTCCTCCTTTTAAATGAGTGGCCACACTGGGCATGGTGGCACTCACATAGACTCCCAGTTCAAAGTCAGCCTCAGTAATCAAGGAAGGCCCTAAGAAATTCAGTGAGACCCTGTCTCAAAGTAAGATACAAAAACTTCCAGGGTTAGGTTAGTGCTACTGGGTTCAAGGCCTAGTACCAAAAAAAAAAGAGTGACCGGTGATTTCATGAGCTGCAGCTTCTTGGAACTGGTTACTGTAGACAGCAACATTCTTTATCTCTTTTTTTTAAATGCCCACCTTCTCATTATGATTTTGTGCGGATCCCAAATTGTTCCACATCTCAGGGTAGAAAACAAGACCATGTTTGGCACAAGGGGCCCAACAAAGCTTTCATGGATAACTTCTTCAAGTGGACCCAACTCTCTTACTCCTTTGCTTAAAAACTCTGAAGAGCTAAACTTTTATTACTAACTTCAGGAAGGCCGCACTTCTTGCCATCGTAATCAAGACCATCCAAGACCTGTCCCTAGCCTACTTTCTAGTGTCATTTCTCCTTACTTCTTCTTTATGGACCTTCCAGAAAAAGTGTTCTAATGGTTCTGCTAAAAATTCTTTGATTTTATTCCTTGGTTCATGTTTTCCTATATTCTACTGTCTAAAGTTTATGTACACTTCAAGAAACTTTAATACCCCTCCAAGAAGCCTTCCCAAACCTTCTTGTTAGAATCTAGCTTTGTCTGATGCTTTCAAAAATATTTCCTAACCTCTCCTGCAAACATGCTGAGCCCTTCAAATGCAATGTCTTGACCTGGGCCTTATCCATCTACCTGTCTGCATCTCCTAGTCAAGTGACCAGCCCAGCATGTACCCAAGATATTTATGGTATGAATGAATCAGTACTTGGTGGGAGTTAAACAAACAAGGAAGATGTGAAGATGGGTTTAATACTCCCCTTAAATACAGTATTAATCCTCAATTATAGGCACTAAAGAGAACATTAGTAATGTGAATTAGTATAATTAACAATTAAACTCCAATGTCATCTCTCCCTCCCACCTTAAAACTATGCAGTGCAGGAGGCTTTGTGATGGAATTGTAGGTTTATGATTGAGCCCTCCTCCAGACAAACTTCTGGGGTTATGCCTTCAGTTTTTGGAATTATGACATATCAACATGGAATAGTTGAAGAACTGCTGCTAAGAGCCTCTTAGGAAATAGTAATAAGAAAAGCTGGGCAGGGGTGATGCATGCTTGTAATCACAGCAGCTCGGGAGTCCAAGACAGGAAGATTGAAAGTTCAAAGCCAGCCTCAGCAACTTAGCAAGGCCCTAAGCAACTCAGTGAGACCCTGTCTCTAAATTAAATACAAAAAAGGGCTTGGGATGTGGCTTAGGGGTTAAGCATCTCTGGGTTCAATCCCCACTAATAAAATATTTTTTAAAAAAATAGAGAGGCTGGGGTTGTGGCTCAGCGGTAGAGTGCTGAGGCTCTGGGTTCGATCCTCAGCACCACATAAAAGTAAAGAAATAAAAATAAAAGTATTGTGTCCAACTATAACTGAAAAATCAAAATTAAAAAAAATAAATTAAAAAAATAAATAAAAGGAAAATAGTAACAAAATGAACTTTGGGATATTTGTTAGGATGATAGCTGCTCTTGTTGGCCTTTCTGAGCTAAGCCTGGTGAGGCTCCCTACTACTGAGGAGTTGGGGTGCTGATCTCCATGGAGAAATTCTTTACTCAAGTGCCCTTTAGTTCAATGTCTGAGAATTTAAAGGACTTCGTATTGTGGATTATAAAGTAAAAGAGTCCAATTATCCAGTGGAAGCTTCATTAGTAGCTAAAAATACTAGTGGGTGAAGAATGCTCAACATCTCTGTAAGAGACCTAACTAAAGTCCTAATGCATGACAGCAGCAGGGACTTTAGCAATTGCAAATTATAACCACCAGGTGGCAGAGTAGAATGCAAAACTCAAGAGCACCCCGACAAGGACATAATCTGGCTGTTTTGTCCCATGTTTGGTAACCCCAGAAGTTTGTCTGGAGGAGGGCTCAGTCTTACACCATTGAGACTGTAAGCCGGGAATTTAATTTCACCTTGTTCCAATTTTCACTTAAAAAAACTTCCAGGAAATGAATTATTAGATGGGACAGGCTCTTAAGAGCCAATTGCTAAATTTCCAGAAATAATTTTTTTAAAATTAAATTAAAATGAAATTCTATCAACTGCACTTATATGATAAATAATTGACTAAATTATATTTAAAATAAAGGTAATCAATAATTGAGACTCATCATTTACTATTTTCTATGCTCTTGAGGCTGTGTGTGTGATGTAAATACTACATAATGTTGCACATCTCAACTCCACATTCAGTGCCATCGAGTTGGTAACTTGGAATTGGCCATGGGAGGAATATCGACACCAAAGCAAATGGAAAAATACTACAAATCAGTTCTGAAGAGGGCTGGTTATTAAACCTTTCTTGAATATCACAGAGTGAGAAATATAGGAAGCTGGCCAATAAATCATACTGGGAAACAAAAGGAAAAGTTTGGAACTTAAAATTTGCTTCTAGTGCATGGCACGGTGGTGCACGCCTGTAATCCCAGAGGTTTGAGAGGCTGAGGCAGAGGATCACAAGTTCAAAGCCAGCTTCAGCAACTTATATGGCCCTGAGCAATTTACTAAGATCATCTCTCAAAATGAAAACTAAAGAAGGACTGGGGATGTGACTCAGTGATAGAGCACCTCTGGGTTCAATCCCTGATACAAAAAAAAAAAAAAAGGTCTCTCATAATAATTCAGACACAGCAAAATTCGGGGGCTAAAAACTTGGACTTCAGTCAGGACTTTGAATTTGAATCAATAATCTGTTATTTATTACTGTATATCTTAGGCAATCAACTTTCTGCACCTGTAAGGATATAGTATCTACTTCATTTAATCCTTACAATAAGGTTATTGTAAGGATTAAATAAATTAATACATATGTCACCTTAAATAGATACATGTTAACTATTATTATTACTAAAAGGAAAAGGAATTATTAGCACCAGTAATTCAGAAGTCACAAATATGCAAACAGCAGAGACACATTTGAATTCTAAGACCCTAAACCCATATTCCAATCTTGTTATATTTTTACATTTAATTTCACATCATGATTTAAATTTATTTTCTGGAATAAGACTAAAGATGGTGCTAGATTTATTATTCTGTATTAACAGAACAAAAAATATTTGCTACCATAGTTTACATTTCCAATATTTGGGAAGTAAATTAAGAATTTACAGGGTTTAGTTCTAATGACTTTAATCGTCTTTCCTTTAATATTTTTGTAAATATCAGTAAACTCGGAGAAGTGTTGTTTGAAATTTTATTAATTAATTAATTTATTTATTTATCTTTTTATTTATTGATACTTGGGATTGAACTCAGGGGCACTCGACCACTGAGCCACATCCCAGCCCTATTTTGTATTTTATTTAGAGAGTGGGTCTCACTGAGTTGCTTAGTGCCTCACTCTTCTTGCTGAGGCTGGCTTGGAACTCACTTTTTCTCTAAAGGGAAAGGAATAGCTTTCCAAGACACTCAATGGTATGAGGACATGTTCCATCAATGTGTAATAAAAACTAAGTTTCTTTTAAAGAAAAACAAAAAAAGACATTGTGACAGTGCAGACTCACTGCTTCAGAATCCGGAACTCTTAGGCTAAGGGAAAGTGACAGAGTGCTTCTGCAGAGAAGTATGCACACTGCCATTTTTAGAATTCCTTCTGTCACAGTGTATACTCAGCACTGCAAGGGACGGGCATGTGACACTCTTAAGTCATTTGAGACTACAGCTGTCCTGCTGTCATGATCCCATTCAGAACTATTTTGGCACCACCACAGCTGCTGGTGAAACCAGATGGGCGTATCCCAGCAGGAGCAGAGCAGGAATGGGACAGCTAACTCTGAAAAGGTACCCATGACAGGGGGACCAATGGCCACAGACCCTGGAGGGCTTTTAACATTTAAATAAATGTGTTTTATAAAGAAAAATACTTGCAAGCTTGGAGATGCACTGTGATCCCTGTTTACAGGTGGTGCCTGTAATCCCAGCAAGTAGGAGGCTGAGATGTGAGGATCAAAAATTTGAGGCCAGCCTCAGCAACTGAGTGAGGTCCTATCTTAAAATTAAAAAAAAAAAAAAAGGAACTGAGGGTGTACCTCAGAGATGAAGCATCTCTCAATTCAATCCCCAGTACTAAATAGATAGATAGATACATAGATAGATACATAGATAGATGTTCATGGCTAAGCAGGTGTAAAATAGAAAACTGTAAAGAAGTTAATCTTATTTTATTTATTTATTTTTTTAAACATTTATTTTTTTAGGTGTAGATGGACACAACACAATGCCTTTATTTGCATGTGGTGCTGAGGATCGAACCCAGGTCCCACCCATGCTAGGGGAGCGTTCTGCCGCTGAGCCACAATCCCAGCCCCAAGAAGTTTATTTTAAATAAAATATCTTCATTCATTTGTAATCAAGCCCACAATAGATAAAAGTACTGGTAACACCTTTGCAGAATTTCATCAGTCACATTTATGTGTGTGTGTGTTTGTGTAGAGTGATTTTTTTCTTTTTTTTAAATCACTACCATTTATTTTGAAATAATTCTAAAATTACAGAAAAGTTGCAAAAATGGCAAAAAAAAAAAATGAGTTTAATAGTCCTCCACCCTGCTTCTTCAGATATCAATGTCATATCACATTCGCCTGCCTCCCCCCACCCCCCCATATATCCATATGTTTTTCTTCTGAATCAACCGATGGTAAATTCCTACCCTGACGCCTCCGTCTCTCTAAATATTTTGTGTGCCTTTCCTAAAACAAAGACCCAGCTTACACATATTTGTAGCCTACTTATCGAAATCAGAATATTAACATTGATACTATTGTTGCATCTACAGAATTGATTTGATTTCACCAATTCTCTATAACTCTCTATCATATGTATTTTTTTTTCAGTCCTCTTTGAGTGAATCTGAAATTTTTGAAGAGTATAGAACAATCATTTTGTAATGGAGTTTTGAGTTTGGGGGATTTTCTCAGGATTGGATTCATGTTATGCCTGTATGGCAGGAATATCACAGAAATGATGTCATCTTTTTCTTGGAGTCTCCCACCGGGAGACACAGGTTAAGTTAGACACAGTACTGACTCTGATCATTGAAGGTGGTGTCTGCCAACATGCTCTACTGGAAAGGTTACTATTTTATCCTTTGTGAGGAAAAGTTACCTAGCAGGGAGTCATTAGATACAAAGTATCCTAATAATCTTCAAAAATTTTACCTGCTGTGTTCCGGGGCTTGATGATTCTTGCCTGAGTCAATTATTATGATGATAGTTACCAAAAAGTGACTTTCTAATTTCATTTATTAGTTTGTATTCTAGTATAGCAAAGCACTTTTTGTCTGTTCCATTAATTTATTCATTTTTTGCTTTTATCAGTATCTATTCAGATTCTAATTGTTTTCTATGAATTATATTATCTGTTGCTCTCTTTATTGTGATGCTCATATTATCCTGAGTTGGTCAATAGGACCCTTTTTCAGTCTGGCTTCTGTGTCTTTAATATATATATATCTCCCCAAAAATTCTTTGAGCAGTTCCTTACTTTTCTTATACAGCAAAATCCTCCAACACCGGAGTCAATTGTCCAAGGAGTTCTAGTTCCTTTTAATGGAGGATGGTATTTAAAAATCAGCTTTGTGTGCTAAATACACCCTTAGGACTGTATCATTGCTTTCCAACACTCCCAGCAAACAGAGCCAGGGATATGCAAAATATGCATATTCCATAGTCTGTCCTGAGAGTCATCTTGATTTCTATATCTGTATATTTAAAAACATGTGTTTATACCAATACCTCCAATTTCAGTTGAACACCACGGGGTGCATTTTAGCTTTCTCCAATTGTTTATTCACAGTTCCATTCTCTGAGACTAAAGAGCCTGAATCCCACTATTTGCTCAGTCTTAGAAAATGCAGTTTCAGAAGTGCTAACACATACTACTGTGAAAAAAAAAAAACCCTACTGGATATAGTAATTGCTTATGGTTTTTGTTTTTCCCAAGAATGTAAAATCAAATACTTGAAATATTTGGTTAGTTCATTTATAATGGTTGTTGTGTAAATGTTGTTAGGAATATTTATTTCTGTTTATAATTTATTTACAGTTTTCCCCACATGCTCAGATTCTTTTTATTAAGACATTTATTTATTCTTTAATTAATTAACTCTTAAACATGGTATTAAAATTCAGAACTACCAAAAATATTTCTCATTCCTCCATCCATTCTACTCTGGCCCCCGTTAACCTGCCCTGAAGACCCAGCTTACACATCTCATTTATTTCTGGAATATCTTTCCTGTGCTTGTTTTTGCACAGATAAGAATATAGGTCTACGTTCTTATTTCCCCACTTTTTACTACACAAAGATATGGTACAAGACATATTCCTTGACCCTCACTTTCTTAAAATTTAACAGAAATTACTCCTTATCAGTTCACAGACATCTTCCTCATTTTTACAGCTGCATAGTATTCCATTGTGTGAATATATCATTGTGTGTATATATCATTGTTGATTTAAACCCTTTCTTATTTTCACACACTCAAGTTATTTCCAATATTTTGAAGCTACAAGCATTACTGCAATGGAAATTTTGTGCACATATATTTAGTTTTGTTTGAGTTGTATAATTAGGGTAAATTTGTAGAAGTAGGATTGCTGGGTCAAAAGTTATTTTAAATAGACATGTACTTATTAGATGTTGTGAGCATCCCTTGCCAAGGTGCTGTACCATTGTCATTCCAGTTAACAGTATACAAGGTTGCCTGTCTGTTCTCTAATAGACGGTGTTGTCAACTTTCAATGTTCACAAATCTGATAATGAGAAATGGCATCTCAGGGAGGTTATAATTTGCATTTTCCTAATTCTGAGTAGGAATAAGTATCTTTTCCCATGGTTCTGAAATTTTTTTTATTTTGTTTTGTGAATTTTATATGTGTCTTTTACCTTTGTACTATCTAGTTTTTGGTCTAGTTTCCCTTCACTTTAAAGAGTTCTTTATGCATTAGGAGTATTAGTCTTTCATCTGGATAAATATTGTAAATATCATCTTCCAGTTTTACAGTTATATTTTAGTTTTTTGCAATTTTTAAAAATTTTTGTATAGACATATATATCAATCTTTTCTTTCTTCTTCTCTGTTTTGCTTTTGATTTTTAAGTCATTGAGAAGCCATTCCTTACATGTACATGTTATTAGAATTTGCCCATATTTCTGTGGTCTCTTTTTTGCAAAATTCTGATTATAAACTTCATATCTCATCTTTTTAAATTAACAGTATAGGCTGGGGATGTGGCTCAGTGGTAGCGTGTTTGCCTAACCTCTCTAATGCCCCAATTTTGATCCTCAGCACTGCTAGGTAAATAAATTAACATAAAGATGATTGTGTGTTGATAAAACTTCTTTGAAAATTTGTTTTTAAATGCTGCATTTTATTGAATAGAATGATTATGATTATCTAATTATCTCTTATTGTTGGACATATAGACAACTGCTAATTTTTTGAAATGTAAGTCATACTTTACTATGTATCCTTATAGATCTTATATCCTTATTTGATCTCATAGAACAAAATGTCTACTTCCATAGAATAAGTATTCAAAAAAAGATAATGGAAAATTTTATGCCAATGGATAAGTGAATAGATTAATAAATTCTGGTACATAAATATAATGGAATACTATTCAGTAATTAAAAGGAATTAATTAGATACAACAATATGATTAAACTCACAATCATTATGTTTGAGTAAAACTAGATGAGAAAAAGGGAATAATTAAAAGAGAAATGTGTAAATGATTTTACCTGCAAGAATTTGATCCCAGATTTTTTCTATATGCTATTTTTAAAATTGTTTTTCATTTTTCACCTTTATCATTTCTATAGGCTATTTTATTCTCAATAGCTGTGAAAATAAACATTTCTCTAGACTCTATTTAGGACTCAAGTACATTGTTCCTTATATGCATATTTGTTCAGACATTAAATATTACAGATATAACCCCTATCACTTAGTAGGCAAAAATCCAAGCTTACAAAAAAAATTTAGAGAGTGAGTATGCTACTACAAATTAACGGTTCTGTGGATTCCTTTCAAGATGAGCTCTCCTGGTACACTTGATGATGAAATGTAATGCTCACAGATGCAGAAAATGAAGTACATACCATTTCTGTTTGGCTACATCCAGCTGAACTTTGACCCAGGGCATGCTGTAATCATCGGCTGGAACTTCATCTAATAAGTAGTTTATATGTGGTTTAACTATTTTAATAATATAGGCACCTTTATAACATTTTATGATTACACAGACTTGGAGTAAGCCTCTGTTTACATGATGAACTTATGAACAGTGTGCTAATGGGGTCACTGCACCCACAGCACAGGATCTGTCTGACAGGGTGAACTTACAAGCACTTTCCACCTGAGGAGGCTGGGCCTTTCCTTCCCTCCCACTCCACAGACACAGCCTTGGGAAGAGGCTCTGCGGGGACCAATTAGCTGATACCATTAGTGAAGTCTTCTTGAAAGGCCTACGTTTTGGTGGTCTGACTCAGTAGTGGTGAGGTCATGATCTGTGTGTGTCTAATGGCACCAGAACTGTTTTAGGGTCCACTATCATTCGGATCTGGAATGTTCCTCAAAGGTCCATGTGTTAAAAAGTTCTGTTTGCCAAGCATCTTCAGTGGGAGGTGGTGGAACCTCTAGGAGGTGGGACCTGGTGGGAGATGTTCTGGTCATGGGAGGGAGGAGGGCGTGTCCTCAAAGGGGGTGACAGTGCCCCAGTCCCCTTCCGTTACCTGTCTTTCACTTACAGCCATGAGGTTTGTGGTTTTGCTCCTGC